AATTCGTAGTACACCCGAACAGGATGTGATTCTAGCCCATAGCCCGAATCTATTGGAACGAATTCTTGATTCCTACTACATTACTGTTACGATACAATCTTTTAGACATGGTACTTTTGCAGTGACGAAGAATTTCTTGTGAAGAATAGAGGAGAGTTGCCTTCATTAAATCGTCTTATACGATATGTTACGATGTATCAGTGTTCTACGATTCAACATTTGTCTTCTTTGATTGACAATACAGATTGCCTATACAGGGTGTCCCGAAAATGTTATAACACCTTGAAAGGGGTGGTTTGAGAGGTGATTTGAAACAACTTTTCCCTTAGGAAAAATGTTATCCGAGGCTTCGTTGAGGAGATATTAACGGAAAACACTGACCAATCAGAGCGCGAGTATGCCGGTGGAGCGCCCGCGGTAGCGTATGAGCGCGGCTGCCTAGCGCGTAGCCTACGCTTACCGTGGGCGGTCCACCAGCATACTCGCGCTCTGATTGGTCGGGGTTTTCTGTTAATATCTCCTTAACGAAGCCCTTAGCGAAAGACATTTTCGCTAAGGAAAAAGTTGTACCTCTTGATACCTCTTGAAGGGTCAAGGAGTTCGATCGCCGAGTTTCGTATATTCTTTGATGTTTACCGCCGAGCGTCGAACACAGACAAGGATAGTGAATAAAGAAGAGGACGGAAACAATGTAATGCAACGATGAAACTTTTTTATTATTAACTTTTTTGTTGTAAAACTTTTATCAGCATATTCCTGACATTTTTCTCATTAAAATAAGATCAAACACGACGTAATTCGTTACGTATTTACTTGTAATAACTTATTATGTATCACATGTATATCGTAGAACACTAATTAAAAAAAGATGAATGGTAAATATGTCCGAATTATATCGTGTTTAGTCTCATTTTAATGAGAAAAATGTCAGGAATATGATGGTAAAAGTTTTACAACAAAAAGGTTAATAATAAGAAAGTTTCTTCGTTGCATTATATTGTTTCACCGACATGCCTGGGTGTTTTCGCTCCGTCCTCTTCTTTATTCGCTGTCTTTAGCTACGTTCGAGGGGCGTCGGCAAACATTAAAGAATATACGATGTCCACGTTAGTCGTACAAGGTCAGTCTCGAGCTTGTGCGTCTAACGAGACATTACTCTATTTTTTTTTAGCGATGTCCGTCTGCAGAATCAAAAAGAATAAATATAGAATATAAGATTTTTTGCAGATATTAGAAGTAACCTTTAATTAGTAGCCTTTTGGATTGAATTACTCTAAATCTTGATTATCAGCATTACTGTTGCTTACATGTAGATTGTCTAACGAACTATAATCATCAAATGAACCCAACAAACATAACCTAAACAAAAAGTTCAATGTTAGTGAGCAGAAACTTGCACTACGTTTAACGGGTTAACGATTTTAATATCGATATCATTAATAGAAATAAAATGTAATCAAGAGATTGTATCATGAAATGATAATATGTCTCTTCTCCTTTTGTTTCTGAATATGCAAAGAATTTTAGTGTAAATGTGAGTATTATTAGTTTTTCAGGTAATTATAGGGAACAGGTACATCCTCACTGATTTCTACTAATTGGAATTAGAAGTAGAATACCAGTGATCCATTACAATAAACTATTTAATGTTAGGTGGAGCGATTAGATGTTTCCAATTAATATTTTTTCCAGTACTGACATTTTGAAAACTTAAGTCCCATTATTTGAAGACATACATATTTATTTTCTTTCTTGTCATTCCTAAAAAAAATTTAATATTATATTTGTAATTAAGATATGCGCAATGTTTCAAATTTGCTAAATTTCCCCTATAGCTCACATAATTTTTGATATTTTTTGGATGTTAGAAAATAGCAAGACCATTCACTGGAATTATTCATATTTTACAGTGTTCAAGATAACTTGCTCGTGAATGCAAGATGACTAGATCGACTTAATTTGTATTCAGTAGTTGTAGATCTCTTGTGTCTAAGATTATTCGTTGATAAATTAGGCCCGTATTAAGGATATCGTGTTTCACATTTCGCAAAAGGTTAATGATCTGTTAAAAAAAGGTAACAATTGGCTGACCTACAATTAAAGCGCGATAATAAGAGGCTTATAGATTTCAAAAAATAGCAATACACAGAGTAGAGTGTAATATAGCATCCATAATGAAAGCAAGAAATAAAATCACAATTGAAGAAACTAATGGTACATAATGGTCATTGCAGCAGAAGCTATTCTTTCCGGTATACATAATTTTAGAGTTGATATTAAAAATAGTGAACCTTTACTACTTCACATTCTGAAGCTTTGTCACGTAAATATAAACAATCAAAGTTAACTGATGTGATTGTTGGTAGGTTCCATTTTACCTTTTAGTCAGCTGACAGAGATCAGAGATTATATCGATGAATAAAACAATTCATGCAGGCGTGCTCTTATACGTATAAATAAATCAGCACTTATATTAAGTTATAGGAAACATACAAGTGGTGTGTTCAAGGCAGATCAATATACCAATTCATATTGTTTTATAAGAAAATCATGCAAGTGGCAAGGAAGATTGTTCTTCTGGGAATTGGAAGTATCTGCAATTTTAAGCCAATTGTTATGCACTGTAGATTTGCACAAGGATTTCCTCTTTCTTCAAATTCATAAGATAAGCCTCAAAAGGAAAATTCTTTTTTCCAATGTGTTCCAATATTTCTTTATTTGTCTTGTCCAATCCGTTTGCTACTAGTCCGAGAGCCCGCGACATAAAATTTCGGCCAATTTCATTACATATATCCTTTTGCTATTTGACTGTTTTTTACTAAAGAATAAAAATAATCCAAGGCTGGCAGCGCACAAACGGTGCATCGCTCCGCTAGAAAGTCGTAAACATGTAAGAAATAACAGTATCTTTGACTGAAATCATTACTACTGAAATTTTTAGTGCGTATTGTTGACATACCAAATTGCATAAAAAAGTTGGTCTGGCAGATAGTAAGCGGTGCTAAATGGGTCTGGCAGTCGGAAAACCTTGTCGGTAAAACGAAGTAGTTTGACTGAAATCATTATTTCTGAAACTTTTTGTATAAACAATATGTAATACATAGGGTTAAAAAAATTTGGTCTGGCAAACTTTGAGTGGTGATAAATCGGTCTGGCAGCCGTTTAAAGGAGCGAACACATATGCGCGCCGTGCAATTTCATGACTTATTTTAGTTAAATAATAATAATAATTGTATGAAATAAAAATCATCACACCAATATTTTATACATAACTAATGTATATAATGTTTAAAAATAATTATTAATTGATAGGTTTATTAGATTATCGAGATCTCAACGCCAGTAACGCATGTGTGTTCGTTCTTTTAAACGGCTGCCAGACCGATTTAACACCACTCAAAGTTTCTCAGACCAAATTTTTTTAACCCTATGTATTACATATTGTTTGTAGAAAAAGTTTCAGAAATAATGATACCAGTTACTTGATAGTTTTGTTAGATGTTTTAATGAACTACTTCGTTTTTCCGACAAGGTTCTTCGACTGCCAGACCCATTTAGCACCGCTTATAATCTGCTAGACCAACTTTTTTATGCAATTTGATATGTCAACAATACACACTAAAAATTTCAGTAGTAATGATTTTAGCAAAAATCAAATTATTATAATACGCCATAGTGAAGCATTGCACCACTGAATTCATGCCAGACCAAGCATTTCTGAACTAGGGAGGCATACCATCTTCGGAAAACAGGTTCATTTGTGTAATGAAATGAGTCATCCATTTCTGTCGCGGACTCTCGGACTATAAATCTTGGGTTTCAGCTATTAGTGGCATTCTTGAACTTCGAATTTCAAAGCCTGAATTTATCTTCACACGTGTTCATTCTAGATCCATTAACCTCAAGATTTTAAGTTTAGCCATAACGGTTTTCCCTTTAAACCCAGTTGATTATTAAGTTTAATTTTAACGACTTACATCAAAAAACCTATAATCTGAAGCCACATGAATTTTTTTACCCCAAATTTTGCATTGCCGAACAAAATTATGACCACACAGTCAAAACGTCATGTTCACTATGCTCCGTATGAATATAATAATCATTCATTTGAATTTAATGTTGAAAAAATAGGACAAATTATTCTTATCGAGGATTGAATCGTTACATGGTCCCACCGGCGTCACGTTTAATCTGAGATTTAGATAAGATGTATATGTTAACCTAAAGTAAACTACTGTAAGTATTTTCTCTCATTTGGATCTTTATTTTCAATTTATTTTAAATCTTATTCTCTCGAAAAGTCGTCGTTAGTTTAAAACGTTTAGTTTAAGTACATTTTCCATATCTAAATCACATTTATTTTATTAAATAAATATATGTAAGTGTTCTAATTGGCGACAAAAGAACCTTCCTTTTGACAGTTACATATAAATATGCAGACAGAGAAAGTGTTGATATAATATATCTACATGGGACACTATGTTACCGATCAAGTAACCTTAGCTTGAAAATCTGCTGCTAGGATCCAGAGCCAAACTCCGAGTTAACTTCAGCGACAGTTGCGGAAAAAGTAGGAAACTCCGGGACAAGGACAGAGAGGGCGATATAACAATTGCAGGAGAGACGAGGACAGGGCGATTGAGCTAGCATGATTTTTTTCCAGGGTATTGAAGCAAAGAAGCAATATTTTCTAATAATTTTGGTTTTAATATATTCGTTACACTTTGGCGGATGCGACTTCAAGGCCTGATTTTGCAATTTCGGCCTTAAAACTTTATAAACAATAAAATTTTTTCTTTTCTTATAGAAGAAATTGGTTTACATATACTTTTTTCAACATCAGACCTTGGAGTCGCATCCGCCAAAGTGTAACGAATATATTAAAACCAAAATTATTAGAGAATATTGCTTCTTTGCTTCAATATCCTGAAAAAAAATTATGTTAGCCTAATCGCCCTGTCCTTGTCTCTCCTGCAACTGTTATATCGCCCTCTCTGTCCTTATCCCGGAGTTTCCTACTTTTTCCGCAACTGTCGCTGAAGTCAACTCGAAGTTCGGCTCTGGGTCCTCCGCACCCTTAAGGGTGATTTCCTCAATCGCAATGATAAAAGAAATAGAGGAAGTCGAGTACTTGGTTACAATTGAAATACGTATATCTACGTAGTCTCAGTCTACATTGTTTGAAATAGATCATACGAAAATTATAAAATACAATGTCTGACTGAAATTGCTAAAGGTTATTTTCCTTTACTAGTTTTCAGAAATGTATTACAAAATTTGATTGTACAGGACTAGACATATCTCGGCGCGCGAGGGGTTAATTTCAGATCAGATTTCGTTTATCATATCCGCATTTCTACACCCTTATAAATTAATTCGCTCCATTCGAGTTGCACGCTCCTAAACTTAATAACCTTGCATATTAACCTTGCATAAAAAAATACCGATTAAAAGTATCTCCAAAGAACAACTTACGTTTTTACTGAAATGAACTTTGTTCCTATAAGTATCTATCCTTATCTCTTCTTTTTTCAATTTTACGTTTAAAATCGAAGTAACTTTACGCTTCAATTGAGCAGCTATTGAAAATGCCGTTTCGTTTGCTAGGATAAATAAAATAAATTTGTATTGATCAACGAGGTTGTCGGATGAAAAATATACCCAGGGGGCATACACACAATGGAGGGTAAAGCAAATCGATTTCTTTTTGGTCTATTCTTAAAAGAACGATCATAGACTAATGTCCTATAAACATATAAAGACAGAATACCATTCAGTTATTATTCAGGTAGCGAGTAACAGTTATTCTATAATCTATCCATAACTCTTTATAATATCTTGTATTAAAAATCCAGAAATCGCTTTTTATTCGTTAGGCAATCAGCGATATTTGCTTGAAAAATTCCTATTTTAGCTCGAGATATCAATTGGTCAATAGTTAATTTTCACAAAATCAGAGAGACTCGAATTATTCTTAAACTTTAATAAATCTATGTTGCTATTATATTCAGTTGCATGTTATGAAAAATACACCTGGCACTGCAAACCACTCCATCGAAAACATGTGATATTAGATCAATGACCATATCTCAGATGTTTACAAATATTTTCTGATAAACAAGCTATCGAAAAACTCTTAACAGATGTATTTACCAACGACCAAAATTCTGATTTTATAAATTCATTCGTTTGGTTGGGAAAAGAATCACGAACAGTGGTCAGGTTTTACAGTCTCCCAGATGTGTTTGCCCCCATAAACCAAAACCAAGTTGCGTGTGAAACGCATTTGAGGAATGCATCGAACGGACAATGATCGTTATTATTGGATTCCTTAGAAACTCTCGTCAATTCCTCGATCGAAATTGAACACTTCAAAATCCCCGTCGGGTGCATCTGGGATATCCGGCGCAACTGGTATCTCGGGTCGAAGGGCCACGCAGTCCCGTGGTGAGCATTCGACTCGGCCTTCGGATCCGCAGCTGCACTCGATGCAGTTTCCGGTTGAGTGCGGCAGTGTTTCCCCTTCTCGGTATTTTCTTCCTGCAATTAAAAGATGGCATTCATACGGACATATTGTTCGTGCTTCGGGAACTTTTAACGTCAAAAATCAAAATTATTAAGCTGTTTTTTTATGAAACATTAGACGTTTATTTTCTTATAAAGACTGATATTCATGTTCAAAGAGTGAAAAAGTGGGTTGAAAGAGTGGGTTGAATGACCGGGTCGAATGAGCGCTCATTCGAAAGAGAAAGGTCCAACGAATGCGGCTCTGGTCATGGTTGAACGAGATTGTGTTGATATTTAATAATATGAGCGTCCAAAGTCGAACAAAAGTCCAGGAAAACACACCCGCAAAATAGAAGTATTTTTAGGTTACTAAACGGATTTTGTGATTCAAATGATGACAAGAGCACCCTTCGTTGGACCTTCCTCTTTCGAATCCCTAGTAGCATTTATGGTTAGCTATGTGAACTTGGCACCAGACATTTCAAAAATTAATTTTTTTTTATAGAAAACGATAGTATTTCGTTTGTACCTCGACCAATTAATAATTTAAAAAAATTCAAAAAATGGTCAACACCCACCATCGAGATTTTTGAAATCGGTTTTTCCCGATTCTTTAGAATCGTTTGTACCCGTTTGTAACGCTTTTCGTTTCGTTTGTACTTCAATAGTTTAAATTTTATAGCAATTGTTGATCCGCGTAAGAGTGAAGTTCGTTAATTTTCAAGATTTTTAAAATCTGTTTTCTATAAAAAAAATTAATTTTTGAAAAGTCGGGTGCCAAGTTCACATAGCTTAATGTAAAGCAGGTAAATAGTAGTAATTTAATATGGAAAGTGAAAGATCCGTTCGTACAACAGTAATGCGTATTGTTTTATTGCGTTCTATTTAATATACATTTTTAGTTCTTGTGAATCTTTGTTCCTAACAACGACGGTTATAAAACAAAAAACTGATCGATGAAGGCGACGGTAGGAAGCGACGAGGCACTGATGCAGTTGAACGCGTGCATTTATCACGATTAGACGCGCTTCGTATATAATATTTTTTCTATTTTATTTTTACATAATGTACAAAGTAATTGAATTTGAAGCAACTCAAGATGGTGACAATGGAATCGTTGGTGTTGTACGATCGGAGTGGTTTACGTCTTTAAAAAAAGAATCCATGTGGCCTCCATATAAATTAATGGCAAAATTTAATAAAGCTTTACAGGGGGGATAATGCCCGTTAATGAACGTTACACATCCAAAAGTTGAATAAAAGACCAATATTACAAAATTTCAAATAAAAAATTTTGAAATATATAAATTGGTTTTTATTTCAATTTTATTATTCAATTAAGGTATAAATCTCATATGGTCGAACACAGATTTCACTCTGATTTGTTCTGTTTGAATATGCAATTTGAACATGCGTTGTTGTTATAACTATTATACCATTAACTATTTATAAATATTTAAGTATTAATATATGCCAATTAAGATTTCATGAATGTTCAAATTTGACTAAGTTCAATATTAGGATATTCAATTAATTGTCTTCCTAATCATGTTAATATAATAAATATTCTTGTAATTATTCAAAATAAAATTTGGTTTAATGGACAAAATATACATGTTCCAATTTTATAATATTCAAATATAGGTAAACTTACTAAAATTGAAATTGAAATAAATGATATCAATTTAAGAAATTTATAAATTTTTCTACATGGGAACATCATGAAATCATCTCGATCAGTTACTCGTTGCCGAGTCGTAGCAAACAATAGGAATTTTGCAATAACAACACTTATATACATTTAAAAAGATCATAATTATATATACATGTTTACTTCCTTACTCCTGTATAATTATGTATAACTATACTTTACAACCGCCGACTAAACAGTAAATACCGCTTGAAAAGTTATTCGACCCTTATCCGATAATTTCGGATAAAGATAAAAGTACGAAATTTATCCCACGCGACGGGTGAAACTTCAGTTAAAGATAAAAATGCGAAAATAACCTACGGGTGAATATCTCTGGAGAGAAACTAGGTAACTCTAGCTGTCGAATAAAGATACAAATGCGGAAAAGTATCTTAGGATTGAAACTCTCGGGGAGAAACCAGGTATCTCTAGCGGTCGGTTAAAGTTAAAAATGGGAAAACTACCCAACGAGTGAAACTCTCTGCAGTTAACGCAAGTATCTTTACCCGTCGGATAAAGTTAAAACTGCGAAAAGTATCTTACGATTGAAACTTTCTGCAGATAAAGCAGGTATCTTTAGCCTTCAAATAAAAATAATTTAAGTTATCTTTATCCTTTGAGTACATTTACTTCGAATACATTTTTTTATCCGGCAGTCATCGAATAAAGATAAAGTTATGTCTCTTTATTCGATTTTTTATTTAAATAATTTTTTTATCTAAATAATGCCCATCTCTGACCTCCTAGTGGTGGGGATGGTTTCAGTGCATTTATGGAGACTTTACTGTACTCGGTCCTTTCGATCTACTAGTACTTTTGTATTTGTAGGAAAAGTTCTTTATCAATCGCGAATTTGCAATACAGAAACGAATTCTGTAGACATTTCTGAAGAAGAAACTATGTGGGTTAAGTTATGGAGCAGTATGCAATGCGAGTAAATCAAAAAAATATGTGCCGGTGACGCGTGCACGGCGTTTTGGCGCTAGGCGGCCATAGCTCGCTCTCCTCACCAAGTCAGTGCCGTAGCTACGCACAATCAACATCAAAGGTGCCCTTTAACACGCTCCCACTTTTTATATGTATAAGATGTACTAATCATAAGATTAATAAAATATTTGAATTAAAATGTTAGCAATTAATTGGTGGAAATTGTAGCTTATTAATGACGCTCTGTTAAAGATATTTTTTAAAGTTGATTACCATTTGGAATGAATGAAATACACTAACGCGCAAAACTTAGCGGACAAACTTTTAAACGGTTCAAAAACATGGAAGTTTTCAACCGATTGGAATTAAACTCCGTGAGGAGTAGTTTTGTAGTGTCTTCTGGGTGTGTGCAAAGTTGCATTAACGACGGTTGATGTAAAGGGGTTAATTCACCCCCTTAAAGTGGAGGGCGTCGAAAAACGTCACTTCTAAAGGTGCCAGAGGTGACGTAAGGGGTTGAAAAAATTAAAAACGTCTTTAGGGCGACTCTCCTTGGTGCCCTCTACAAAATGCACTTCTTGAAATCCCTCTCGGACAAACCCACCCCTCACAACCTTCCACTCCCTCTAAAACCCACAATTTTTGGACAACAATTGCGAATTTGGGCTCAATGCATTCTCTCTGGACTCCCCTGATCCAGGAAATGCCAAGGACAGGGCCATCCACGTTGCACGACGGCACGGCTGGATAGCTCTTTGGCGCGGAACGCGATAAGACAGTGCCATACTAAAAGTACAGCGATTGCGGCCCAGCACTCAGTGGAGAGCGGGCGCCCCATATCCGCAAAGACTGTCATGAGGCGCCTTGCAGAAAAAAGCATCAGCTATAGAGTGGCAAAAGTATCGTCCGCTTTGACACGGCGTCACAAGAAGATGAGGTTGGAGTACGCACGAACGCAGAAGGAGCAATTAACAAGGGACCATCATTGCACCCTTTTTACGGACGAACAAGGATAGTGCTCCGTCGTTCTGACGAAAGGATCGGTGTCATGTGACAGAGGGGCGAGCGCTATAAAAGCGATTGTTCATGTCTGTCGATGGCTTTCGGGGGCGGCGGAATGATGTTCTGGGGGGTAATTATGCATGGTCGCAAGATCCCCTTAGTGCATATTCCACGTCCTGGCCTCAACAGTGAACGGTACATTATCGAAATTCTGCAGCCGTACGTGGTGCCTATGGCGGCCGAGATCCCAAAGTTTAAGTTGATGCAGGATAATGCGCGACCCCACACCGCAAGACTAACACAAAACTTTCTTACGGAAAAATGTATCATAGTAGTACAACACCCACCGATCAGCCCACACCTTAATCCCATTGAACATTTGTGGGATAAACTCAGAAGGGGAATTAAGGCTCGCGTCCCTGCTCCGCCCACGTTGGCAGAACTTATTCAGATCGCGCAGTAGGAGTGGGACGCGATCCCAATGGAATATGTGAACAGTTTAATTTCAAGTATGCTGCACCGCTTTGACGCGGTCATCCAAGTAAAGGAGGGATACACACATTATTAAAAATATGTAAAAATTTCCGGAATTTTAGAAGTGTAATAAGATTTATTTTTATATTATTATTATTATTAATATTATGTTTAGGAATTTCCGTGTAATGATTGATTTCTGTAATCGTATGTATGTGAGTGGGTGTAGTTCTATTGCTTTAATGTATTGGTGGATGTTGTGTAGTATTATTATTGTTGCGCCGGGGGGTTGAAGCACGAGAATTCATTTTAAATATAAAGTTTATTAACAAACTATAACTTTTAATCAATTTAACGATAATATAACGATAATCTTGGAGACTTGTAACGAAACGTCTTCTCACTTTGACTTCTCGAATCGCTCTCTACTATTTTAAAAGTTTGCCGCTTCCTGGCAACCGGAAGCGCGGGAACTCGTTTCCGCAACTATTATTACTCTTACTGTTTACTGTTACTGTTTACTGTTACTGTTACTGTTTACTGTTTACTGTTACTGTTTACTGTTTACTGTTTACTGTTTACTGTTTACTGTTACTGTTTACTGTTACTGTTTACTGTTACTGTTACTGTTTCTGTTACTGTTACTGTTACTGTTACTGTTATTATGATGTTAAACCTTTAGCATCATTCATGGAGCGGGCCTATCCCGTAACATTTTTTTTTAGACTCATCCGGTGTCGATAGGTGCTGCCTGCCGACAAGCCGCTTCCTGGCTTCGACACTTGTAACTAGGCTTTTTCAATCGTCGGGGATAGTGGTCACACTGCGGTGTGGCTCCGATGGTAGGCGGACCGTCGTAAGATGAGCAGGTAATTAATTATGGAAGATATTACTAACAAACAAACGGGAAGGGAAAGGGTTTTGCGCCCCCGTGGCG